GGCTGTGAAACAGAAGGGCGTAGGATCTGGATCCAGGGCTGCCTTCTCCCTCCAGGCCTTTCTGTGTCAGGGATAGAAACACACATTAGATTTCCCACAACACCTTTCGAGCGGAACCTATCCTTACAGTAATATGGACGTTTGTAGCACTTCCTGGACCAGCTGGTTCCTTTTACCTGCTTTTACTTTTTTCTGTTAGTTGTGCAGCAATATGTAAACGGATGACAGACAATTTACAATCCCCAGGAAACGCCCATCTGCTGGCTTCCCACCCTCCTTGAATTCAAGACCACCGACCAGATTTCTTCTGGCTTCGCGTCCCTTGGAAGCAAGCACTCCACAACTATTTTTCTGTGGGCGAAGGAGAGATGCAACACCAGGGCCCAAGTCAAAATGGTTCCAACATGACATTTCTGTATTTATATCCTGGACTTGTCCCAGTGGACCATTCATCCAAAGAGAGAAACACCTCCCTGACCCAGCCATGGCCAAACACACAAACAAGCACCTTTGAATAGGCGGTACTAGGAATCACCTTGTAGATAAACAACGGCTTTGCGAACATGAGCTGCTTAAAAGATGAGAGAAGGGTCACTGTTACGGGAGATTTCCATGGGGCGGAGAGGTGGGAACTGCAGTCCACAGGTGGTGAGTGGCTGCCGGGTGTGTGACCAGGAAGAGCGAGAGATGACGTTCGTTGGGTAGTTCTTGACATCAGCCCTGCGTGTCTGTGCTTGAGGTTCCATGTATGGCCAAGAAGCATGTGGTCTGCCCAAATCCAGGGTTCCTTCCCAGACACCTCCATGGGAATAGGTCGTGTGGTCCACAGCCAGTGCATCACCATGAGGCGGCATCCTATACAATGTGTCCTGAAAGTTTGTCACGGGTTTCTGAGCTGAGGAATGGCTTTCTGTGAGCGCTCTTTTAAGAAAGGTAAATGGCATCCCCTGTGGTACATGTCAGCCTTAAAGTGGTATAGTGGTCTTAGAAGTCATTCTCCAAAACCATTTATTTGATCCACAAACTGTGCTTAGCTCATGGCTTCACCTTTGGCAGGCACCCACTGTATGTTTGCTGAATTAATGAACTAATGAGCAATGAAGTGAGTGAAGGAGCAGCTAAATCTATTTCAAGATAGAGAATGATCTGAGACCATTCACAGCAGGCAACTGGGTTTGACTGTCCTACAGAGCAGACTGGTTTAAATGTTTCCCCGTAATTATATCCTCCTACTTTTAATTAGCACATATTTTATCATAGAAGCTTATTGCATTTAGCCATTCCTACAACTGTGTGTTCAACAATTCCCACATATTTGATTGATGATGTAGCATCTTATCTATTATTTGTATTTTTATTGCATGTTGGATTGCTTTCTGTGGATGTATTCCAATAATAATAATAATAATAATAATAATAATATCTATTTACAATGTGTAAGATATTGTGCTAGTTGCTTTATAATTTTTATGTTAGGTAAAATTCAGATTATAATTCCACTTTATAATTAAGTTAGTCTAAATTAATCTAAGGTCATATCGATAAAAAGTCAACAACTAAAGATCACCACCCAGATTGTCCTATTAAATGGTTGTTTTACTTTCAACCTGAAAATTGCTGTCAATACAGGTCAGTATTGAGGCACTTGGTATAAATTGTCTAATTTATCCTGCACTGCAATAGCTTCCAAAGGTCATTATTTGGCCTTTGAGAATGGGCAGGTCAGCGGCCACTGTATAATTTCATCAGCAGTAATACATACACAATCAGTCATCTATAGCATCAGTTGCACATCACTATAAATTTCGAATGTTCTTGATCTCTCCAGCTACAGTGCTTTCTCCTTTTCCTTGTAAGCCTACTGGTGTTTATTTCAGATGACCTCCCCATATGACCTTTCTAAAACCTCACTCCAACCATATCACATCAACCTTGACTCTGTTTCTCCTCTACTACTAAGACCATGGTCTCTAGCTGATCTACCAAGCCCTCCCCATTTTAATTCCAATACACTTTGCTAGCACATGCCTGGCTGTTGTTCCCCAGTGGTCAGTACCGGGGATATGGTGAGTTACTAGAAATTCTGGAACATCCCACCACTTCGCTTCTGCACATTCCTTCCCTCTGCCTGAAATGCCAGCGACAATCTCTTATTCATCTTATGTTATGACTCATAGAATTTTTCCAAGATCCACAGAGACAAATATACTTTCAAAAGCACTGTATCTCTATACCCAGAGTATACCTTGGTATGCACCAGTATACCCTGGTATATAGAAGGTTTCAATAGATATCTGGTTTAATTCAAGATTTAAAAAAAATAACATTTTTCTGGGAAAACGCCCTGAAGTCCAAGAAAAGTTGTTTCTGCCTCTCTGCTCCCCAGATGCCTGGAAATTCTAATTGCCACATGATTACACAATGAGATTAAGCATTTCTTGTTTTTCTCTCAGACTAGACTGAGCTCTTGGGTGGCACAGACTAAATCTTACTCATGCGTGGGTCCCTAGCACAGAGCCTGGCTGAGAGTAAGTCTGCATGGCCTTCCTGGGCTGGAAAGGAGAATGCTAAAGCAGAACTCTACAGATGAGCAGGGAGGCTGTGAGACTTCTTATTTGACAGTTGAAGACATGGAGACCCAAGGAGGGGGGAAGAATGTGTTGACTCAGTTTTCAGTTAAAACTGGGGACACAGCCCTGGCAGGTTTGGCTCAGTGGATAGAACATCGGCCTGCAGACTGAAGCGTCCGGATTTGATTCCAGTCAAGGGCATCTGCCTGGGTGTTGGGCTTGATCCCCATGCAGGAGGCAGCCAATCAATGATTCTCTCATCACTGATGTTTTTTTTCTCTCTCTCTCTCTCCCTTTCTCTCTAAAATCAATAAAAATATATTTTAAAAAAATAAAAAAAATCGGGGACACAGTCAGGGTTGGAACCAGGTCTCCCAATCCGAGTTACAAAGCAGTACTGGTGGCCACTGAGCAGGGGAGGGCTGGGCCTTTCTTACCGCCCCATCGGTAGAACTGCCTTAGGTCTGCTCTTGAGACCAACATGAACACACAAGTGTCTCAATGGAAGGAGACTAGATTAAGGGACCCTGCTTAGCAGTCACAGTGACAGCCTGGGGGCAGATGACGGAGTCCTAGGCAGGCCTGGCAGCAGTAGGATGATATGTGCCAGGAGGTAGGACCACTGCTTGACCTTCTTCTCAAACTCTGGTCCTGCCGTGTCCTCTCTGGCCAACTTCCCAGGAACCCCCTATCACTAGAGTCCAGGGTTGTGCAAAATGATATGTTATAAATAGACAGGAGTGGGCATAATTATAAATAGCTCTTCTTTTTAGTCAAAAGTGGCCAAATTCGGGCAAGACATGGCCCCCTTTCCCTCTCCCACTAGAAAATAGGCATGCAGGCAGGTAACAGCTCAGAGACAGCAGAGTCTTCCAGAAGCTCCTTTCTTAGTTCCTGGCTGTTTTCATTTTACCTTAGTTTGCCCCCAATCAGATGGCTTCTCATTTACCAGGATACAGTATGTCAGCCTGGAGCTTGAAGCCTCTGTGGAGTCTGGCCCTTTACCTGGTGTGTCCAAACCAGGGAACTGGAACCTCCGGAGAAAGTTGAGAATAATGGGTGTGTGGGGGGGGGGGGGGGGGGGGGTACGAGACAGCAGCTCTGCTTGACTCTCAATGTTGAATGCATTTGAATTGACTGTGTGTAGGGGTGAGGTGTGCTAGGAGGAGGAAGCCAGGGGCCCCTCCTGCCTTGAGGTGTGGGTATGGGGGTGCTCGGTTTCACCCAGCGCACTGCTGTGGAAGGGGAAGAATTCATGATTGCATTTGGTCTGAGTTTAAAGGTGCCCACAGCAGGTCTGCTGGAAAGACTCGAAGCCCTGGGCCTGGGGCGGGGTGGCTGGAGGAGGGTGACACCAACTCAAAGTAAGGAATCAGTTTCTTTGTAAATGGGGAGGAGGGTTAAAAAAAAGACAAGGAAACTAATTTCTGCGACCTCATGCAGCGCCCAGGCAAACACATTCTTCATCAACAGAGAAGGGCTCAGGCTCAGTGCACTGTCAGAGCAGCAGTGGTGGCCTGATGCTCGGACGACGCCGGGCTTTCTGGGAAAAGCGCCAGGAAGGTGAATTAGGCATGAAGCACACTAGGCACTGCCGGGCCCCTAGGGGGACACCCGTGGGTAGTTGAGGCGCCGCCCGGACCCTCTCCGCGGCGAGGGCGCTCACTCCCCAGCCCTGGAGCCGCGGAAGGAT